TCATTTATTAAAAAGCCTGCGCTAGGAGAGGCAGAAAGAAAACTCAAGACGTCCGTGTCCTCAGAAGCGTCACTACAGGCTTGTCCTTCGGCGCCTTCCTTCGCCATCCTGCTGGGGCGTGTGACAGGCACGCACAGCACGTGCCACGTTTGTATCTGCCCGTCCCCAGGGCCCCACAACGGGTCCCTCATCGTTCAGCATTTTACACACCTAGGACGAGGCGGATCGTGAACGTGCATCTAAATGTCCGTCCGGGTGGGAAGGGACTGCCGAGGGCCAGCGGCTGGCCCCAGCACGCCCGGCTGAGGGAAGCGCACGTGCTCATCTGCCGCCGTCGGGCCCCAAAGACCGTGGGGCTCCCAGCGCCCCGAGGTCAGAAATGGCCCCGGCACACCATGAAGTTCACTACCATTTCTCCCTCCGCCGCCAGCTGAGCAGAGAGCAGACGGCAGGGCTCAGGCGCGGGCTCCCCACGCTGCGGAAGCGCCCCGTTTGTCCTGCTGGCTGCCCCCAGGCCGAACCCCGTCACGGCTCCGGCGGCCAATGCGCGCCTGGGGGGCAGGCCTGAAAAGTGACCACGGCGGGACTTACCCTCTGCCTGAAGTCTGAGTCAGCGTTGGGGTTCAGCCCTAGAAGAGCCTGTTCATCCATCCCTGCCGCTACGCCGGGCGCTCCCGGGCCACAACAGGCGTGCCCTCCGGTGCCGCAGCCCAGCCCGCGAGCATCTGCACACACAGAAAGCTTGGGTGGAGACCACGTCTGGCGCGCACAGGCTCACCCAGAGTAAGAGCAAGTGGGCGCCACCACGCAAACGAGGGCGACGGCTTCACGAGCCACGGCCCCGCGTGACCGGGACAGGAGCCCGCGCCGAGGGGCTGCGAGACGCTCGGCCACTGTGCTGTTTCCGAAGACCCAGAGCACGCCGCCACGAATGCTTCAGTGTCAGCGACAGTGCACAGAAATTCCTCCCTACACGAGCCGTATGCTCGTGACCTCCAGGCCCAGCAGCGCAATTACACGGCCGTGTAAGCTAAAAGGGGCAAGTCCGGATAATCTTATTACTCGGGCCGCACGCCTCGAGAAGTCAGAAGGGCGAACACCAGCGTCCAACGTTGCTGCCGGCCGGCCCACCCCTCTTCCAGAAGGCAAGGGAAAAGGAAACCGGATAACGCAACATTTGGCCTTTGAACAACGGCTTAGCCCTTCCACAGAATCTGCCCTCGCCAGCGAATTCTAGAAATACGTTTCCAAAGCCCTAGCAGCAGCTGTAAAAGCTGGCAAATAATTGTCTCTGCAAAGCAGTGCACTTTTCCGCACCATAAAAGGCTACAAAATGCAGCTTATTTCACTTGCAGAAACAAGGAACATGTGTTACGCCTCGGTCACTTTCACTCGGTCCGGGAGGTGAGGGCAGCAGTCCCTGTCCATGCCCTGGGCTCTTTACTATCACAAAGACGCAGCGCTGGGGCTGAGAGGCCTTTGCAGCTGGGCGCAGGCCCCGCCGCGCGGTCTCTCCAGTGACCGACAGCTTTGGAGAAGTCCGG